TTGCTGTTCAGATGCCCTTTTCCTCGTAGACATTGTGGTCAACTTCAGAACAGGTTAGTTTTTGGCTGAGGCATGCAAAACAAAATTTACGCATTTCTCAACAACTTTGCACAACGGTTGCTGATCTTCGATTGATGATTCGTCTTAGCACTGAAGTATGAGGCGTGGACGTGTCCGCATTCCCGCCATACACCACTCCATGTTACATACCTTCCTGAACAGAACATCCACCTCATTCGCCTGTGCTTTCTGGGGTGAGCTACGAAGGACGTAGGATATGGGTTGTGTGACACATGCCTTTTGTCAAGTGATAGTTGAGCAGAACTTACAAAGTTTGAGATGGCGACCAACACCCGTCACGAAGTATAAAGGAGTGGTATTTTGTAGCAGCAACGAAGCTACGCAACCATATTTGAAAGAATGACAATTGAGATTGTGATGTACCTGTTATCCACAATTCAGTGTAGTTCTCCACAAGACAATACCATTCATTTCTATCACAAATCTTATCTCACCCTCACGAACCCGCGCACACTCAATACACTGACACTCGCCATTACTTTACCAATTCTTTCGTGCTGCAATCTAGCCTCTCACGCTGTTCAGCGTCACCGAGTAGGACTTGTGTAACGAGACATTCCTACACTCACCACCACCACCACCACCATCTTGCCTGTATCGCCTTTCATGCACAATACGGTTGGGCAGATGTACACCTCACAGTGGCATTCTCTCCACACAATCACCCATCGCAGGTGGCTTTTGAGGCCAAACTTCAGCATCATGCCAACTGTGCGGTGTAGACAGGAGGCTCCCGTTCACGCTCAACTCATGCATGCTCAAATATCTGATCTGCCTGCACAGCGGGTGGGGAGCGTGTGGCACCTGTCCACACCCTCGTCACTCCTGAGAGGCCTAACAATGAGGCCACGGAGCAGTCACAGGTCAGACTCATGCACATGCTCCAAGTCGTCCACAGTCGCACTCAACACAACAGCATACTCGGAGATTACTTCGCAATGCCCACCGAAATCAACATTGCATGTGACACCTGGAGTGGTGTAGCAGTGGCGCACAAGTACAGTGCCCTCCTCACTCATGCCTCCCCCACTCCCAGCACCATTTGCACCTCACCGCATCACGCCTCACTGGCTCACACCTCATCACGACAGACAGGTGGTGCAGCGTGCAAAGGCAAGGTGTCTGTGCCTCACATTTGCCGCGCAGACAATGGTCAGCACGATGAACATTGTGCGTGCTTACTCGGTGAACAGATTGGTAGAACGTGTACGCAATTTGTGTGTTTACTCGAAGCCGTTGGATGTGGTTGGGGTATGGTGTTTGTGTGTGTGGGTAGATGGTGGGTGAGGTGGAGACGCAAGTTGCACACGTAGTAGGGAAAGCCATTGTGGTGTCGTAGC